CTTGAAAACCCAGAGTTGGGGTTCCTGCGCTCCAGAGGCTGGCACTGCAGACCTGTAGTGCACATGCAGTGGGCTTTGCCCACCTGAGACCTGGTTGTTGATCACGCAGCCTGGGCTGTAAAGCTGAGTGACTTGTTCTTTCTCTGCACACCTGAGCTGTCAGCGCTTGCTTTGTCTCGTGACAGTGATTCAAGCAGTCTAATTTTGTTTCCTCCTACTTTGCTCTGTGGTAGGTGACCATACAAAAAATCCTGCTTAATATGAGTGCGCTGCCCCCCACTTCGTCTTTCTGGATTAGAGGATGGACTTGGAGAACAGCAACTTTGGGCAGTTCTTTTAAATTCCTCTTTCATCTGGTTCGGTAGAGTAGCACGTTCCTGTTGCAGAATGCAGGGAGGGGGGAAAAGGATGAGAAAAGCTTAAATGAAAAGCCTTTTAAAAATCACCTTCACGTTTTTAGAGGGAAAGTGATTAAATATGCTTAGCTGCTGGCAAATCCAGCGCCCATCTTGGGGACAATAGTCAGCAGACCAGTGTACTAGCTACTCAGGTAGCTGAGCGTTATCCAGAGAGTCTCTTGTTATCCAGAGTCTCTTGGCAGAGTGTGTGCTGTTACACAGATGTCTGTCCACTGTTTGGAGGACTCCAAAGTATGCAGTCAAGAGCCCCTAAGGACCTGACTTGAGAAAGAGATGCTGGAGAAGAGTCTGACTTTGCTTTCCTCTGCTTACTACAGAAAGCAGCATGTCTTACTACAGAAAGCAGCACGTCTCCTGTAACTTGCTAACCCTGGGATAACGCTGAGCAGCTGCAAGCTTTTGCATGTGAGCCTGTGCTGGCAGAAGTTGTAGTAACTTGAGTTCTTGTGCTGAATAGCTCCTAGGTGGCCTCCACAGAACATTTGCCTAACAAATGGGCTTTAGATCACAGATAACATGCAGCAGGCCTGCAGGCACATCTAGATAACCGCTGCCCCTCCTTGAAAAGTACCATACTAGACTCCTTCAGCCACACTTTGATTCTGATCTGCCTTTACTTGGGCTGCTCCAGCACTGAGAGTGGAAGCAGCTACAAATCTCTTGCAAAATAATCCTGACGTCCCGTCTTTGCTCTCCAGATGGACAAAACCACAGTACAGTTATTATTGGGCAGTCTGTATGGGCTCATGGACCCATCTGTAATTCTCCCCTCCTCCTCCTTTTCTTTCTTGCTCTTTCTTCCCCTATCCTTCCCAATAAAAAGGAAAAAAAAAAATCTGACCTGAAGTCTAAGACTACACCTAACAATGGTGTAGTCCCCTCTCTGACTTGCCGAGGTATGGAAGGAAGAGATGGCTTTCTGGGGAAGCCAGGTAGCTGATGGGATCCGAATGGCCGTGGTGTAAATCTGTCCACAGTGCTTCCCGTGCTCAGCGTGGCTCTGCTAGGCTGGGCTGAGAGCTGAACGTGGGGCCTCAGGACGGGAGCATCTCCTGTTCCTCCTGCTCCCCCCGCCAGCCCAACGGTGCTCCCAGGTGAATGAGAAAGCATTCGGTTCCTCGCTGCTCAAGAGTCTTCTGCTGGGTGCTGGAAAGCTTCCCGGGCTTATGTGCTGTTTCCCTTCCTCTGAAGTAGGAGATAGCGTTACTAACAGCGCGGTGTCTGTTCCCTTGTCAGACGCAGAGCTCTCGCTGAAGTGCTTCTGCACACTGTCTCTGTCAGGTTTTGGTTTTGTTTTTTCTTTGCTACATATTTTAGCCATGTGGTCTGCTATTTGGAAGAGCAGCTGAGCAATCTCTGGAGCAGTACTCTAGCAAGATTGATGTGTTATGTCAGGGAAAGGGGGCATTCTCAAAGTCTTTCTAATTTTGGGTTATTGCAGTGTCGTTTTTTTTTTTTTCCTGGAAGTGTTTTGCACTTCCTACAGCATTAAGGTCTGGCTCTTCTTGAGTCAGAGAGGACTGTGGGTTTGGGGCAGTCTGCAGCAGCTTGGTGTAAGCTATTACACAATCAAACAGTAAGTTGGCTGTACACCGTGATACGGAATAGCCCGTCTCAGAGAGACGCGGACAAGTATGATACATCTTTGGCTTTGTCCTGAGTGCAAGCAGGATGATGTGAAAGGACACCCAAGGACCCTTTGCCTGACAAAGCTGCCTATGGGCTATGTGAGTCCGGCTTGATTGCTTCCAACTGGCCTAGTGTGGCCAGATCCTTTCCAAGAGTTGTAACTGAAGTGAATAATGCTTTCATAAAGAAGGCAAAGTAAATCTTGCTAAATGACAAAGACAACATAACATTCCTGGTTGAAATCTAGCAATAAATATCCCGTGTACTGATGAGTCTGTATCTGGAGCCTCGAGTGCCAGAGGATCTTGTTTAAATTGGAGTAGGCTGCCTCTTTGTTAATCGTAATTAAAATCAGCGAGCAGGAAACAACAGATGCTAATCAGAGTTTAAAGTTTTCTTGGAATCAGGGGTAACTATTCAGGTGCAGAGCACTTCTAGAGCTACTATGCTAAACACAGTGTTAGGGAGCTGTGTTGTGGGTTTTTGTTGGTTTTGTTTGTTTGTCTTGTTTGTTTTTAAATTGTACAGTACTTCAACTAAAAATGACTTAGCCTGGGATATGTTGGCTGTACCTACTGTCTTTAAGCGAAACTGCGTAAATTGACATTAAAATACAAGCTGCGCTTCAAACAGCAGCACCACTGAGCTCGCTGATTCTCACGTACGCGTTGCCATTATGGGCTGCGCTGGCTCTGTTAGGCTGTGCTCCGAGACCTTGTCTTCCCAGGAGTTTAACCTATTTGCCCTGGGTGCAGTGGCTCTGCGCTAGCATGTTGGCATACAAAAAGTGAGCACAAGTCTGCTGCCAAAAAAGCCCCTTGCAGGCTACTTTGGTGGTGTAGGTTTGTTTTTTTATTGGTTTTGTTGGTTTTTTTTGGTTTGGTTTTGCTGGGGTTTGTTTTGGGGAGAGAACAAGGCATTTAACAGATGACCACAGTGAGTTTCAGGAAAGCTTCAGTGGGCAGTCAATAACTAGTATATGCATGCATTGCAGTAGTATTTTCAGAGTTCTCTGGACACAGAAGGGTTTTGATCTCTTTGATCAAAACTGCTTGGGCTGGGGGAAGAGGAGAAGCAACACAGGTGGCTGGTGGCTTGAAATGGCTATATCTGATCGTGCTGCCATGAACTTGTCTCGGTCCTCCTCTCCTCATGTTCCTTCTAGTCACAGCAGGGAAAAGAATGGGCTTTTCTGCAATTTTTAGGTTTCCTAACTGGATTTTTCAGCTTGTTTATATCAGGTGGGGTAGCATTCTTGAAGACCAAAGCTGTCTAAGTTAGCTTTATGCCTGGAAGCTGCTTCTGAGAAACTTAAACCACTGAAGTGGGAGTCACTTGTTAACTAAGTAATTAACTAAATGGAAAAACCATTGAATTTTAAACCTGATTTGCATGCAGCAATTGTAATTTCATGCTGTTTATGCTCTGGAGAATGCTTAGTGCTACGGGGTTTGGAGTTCTTAATTGAACATAGTGCTGACTTCAGAAGCCTCGCAGTTGCTGTCGCTACACAGAACATCTCTGGCCTTTTAGCAAAAGTTAGTAGCGTGTTCCTGTCGGAGAGTAAAGCAATCTGACTATAAATAAATGAACAAACCTTGAGAAGCCAGAGCACTTCTGGAGTTTATTATCAAGCAAGCGATACTGTCAAACTAAAGTCCAGTGAGCAGTCCAAAGCCACATAATTATTGCAGGCCTTGACATGGCAGAACTATTTCATGCCTGGCTATCAATAAACAAGATAGTGTGTTCTGAGCCTTTTATCTGTTGAAAACTGTCCCATTAAGCCCTTTCCAAGGGAAGGAATGTCTTCTGGTTTTGTGCTTCTGACTTGTTCCCCTTCCTTCCCCCTCCCCTTAAGAGCCTTAACTGCAGTTGTAGATTGTCCTCAGTGGGAGAACAAATTTTCTAAACAAGCCTGGAGGAATCCTGCAGAGTATGAGCTGAGTTAAAAGATGTAATGCATTATAGCTTGACAGAGGACATGGTGTCCCTAAGTGTCTCCAAGTGGCAAAGTACTCCTCTTTCAAAATCAGCCCTCCTGACCCCTATTCCCAACGGGCTCCTAAAGAAATGGATTTGCTTGAGCTGGAATGTTTGTCCAGGGTTGCTCAGTCTCCTAAACGTGGCTGGGAGTATGTAACCCATCTGTTACATTTGGCCACGCTTCCCACTTGGCTACATGGCACAGAAACCTAAGTATTCCAGCTTGGCCCATAAATCCAATTTGGACATGCTTTGTCTAGCAGCAACACCAGTATAGTACTAATTTTCTCCAAGTCACTCTTCTACTGAGAGGTAGTAGGCAGATGACTGAATTATAGCTAGCTAGCAGAGAGAGAATTGTTCTCGTGGACAGTTGCTGTGTATGTAACCGATTTCATGTGTGCTTTACCTTCAGTTACAAGATTTGAAGCTGATGAGAGTGCTGGGAAACAGAATTTCCATGGGAAAATTGCTAGGGAACTTTTCCTGCAAACAGTAATTCCAAATGTCTTGTCTTAAGCATTCCTCTTGCCTTGAACTGATGTCTAGCACTAGCTGAGCTTCAGAATTACACTTTTCTTACGGAAGTGGGGAATTACTGGTTTGGAGGGCAGTCTGAGCGCCGGGTCTGCTGTGGAGCTGGCAACGGTAGCCGCTTGATCAAAGACCTTTGGTTACACTGCAAACACACCCTCGAGCTGTACAGGCTGAGCTCTAGCTCTGTAATCTAGTGTGCTGGTATCTTGACTAAGCAGGTGAAGGGTCCAGTTTTTTGAAGCAGTTGATCTTGCTCTCAGGAAAGCTGCTCAGCAAGTTGGAAAACAAAGCAGTATCGCTGCCTTCAGTCCAATTCTGAAAACAAATGGCCGTTACAATTCTGGAAGTGCAGATCTTGAACTGTTTTATCTAATAGCCATGGAGATATATAGAGATATATATAAGATAACAATAATTTTTCCTTCCTAGGAACTCCAGCAGCTTAGCAAGCAATACAGCAATATCAAGCTCCTCCAACTGGGTGAGTAAAGGGCTTATACAGAAGTATGTTCAGCCAAGTCAGGTGAGAGCATCTTAAGAAACTGGTCTCCTGAGTGATCAGTAGCTGTACCTGACCTCCAGCAGCTGAAAGCGATTACCCTCATCTTATGATAACACTGGGGAAACATAATCTATGTAAAGACTTCTGTGCATTGTCACCTGTGTGCTGCCTAAATGTTCCCATTCAGACTAATGCCTTAGCTTTGATTTAGCATGTGTTGTATAGGGACAGATGGCATTTGAACCAACGCAGTTCACTGTGGCTCTTCTTGGCTCCTCTGTGCAGATGTGGTCTGTGAAAACAGCATCAAGAAAGTAGTCAAGGAAGTGGAAGAAATTGTGGGAGACAAAGGTCTGAACTGCCTCATTAACAATGCTGGCATCAATGTGCTTGCTTCCTTGGAAGAAGTCACAGCAGAGACAATGCTCACCATTTATGAAACCAATACAGTCGCCCAGCTGATGGTCACCAAGGTGAGAACTGGGAGGAATGTGCTTAATCTATGGTACTATAAGAGGCTTTTCCACTAGTGAGCTGGACATGCAACCCAAGCATTTGTCACCTTGGAACTGTACAGATACAGGTCTGATAGCAAACTTCATGCCTAGAGAGCAGCAAGAGATCCTTTCTATCAAGGATCTTTCTTTAAGTCCATCTGGTATGAGGTCACTTCAGTGGACAGGTTGGGCTAGGAGGTGGGCAGAAGAGACTGAAGGTCCTTGCACCTCACAGCTGGCTGTTATAGAAAGGTTTCCTATGGCCAGCTTGTCTGGGGAGCCATTGCCATTCTGTGCTGGTGGCATGGAGTTGTACTGCAGCTCTTCATAGAGCAGAACCTGAGAGTCCAGCTTGCCTTGAATGGGCCAAGGGCAAGCAGACCAAATTAAAACAAACTCTTGTTTTCACAGGCTTTTCTCCCCCTTCTGAGGAAGGCAGCCCAGCTGAGCACAGGAATGGGCTGCCACAGAGCTGCTATTATCAATATGTCCTCTCTTGCTGCCTCCATGCAACTCGTCCAGGCAAATGAGATGTTCCTCAAGGTCTACCCCTACAGGATAGCAAAGGTTTGTGAGCTTCCCTGGGCTGTGCTCACTGGGTGAGGGCAGGCCTGTGAATTAAAGACCACTCTGAGCTTAAGACGATGATCTGAGGTGTGCAGCACTTCCTTGGACAGCCTGAAACAGGAACTGTTCTTGTTCTTTGTGTGGGTGGAAATGAGACCTGTGAAAACCATACATCTGGAGCAAGCATGCCAACTTCTTAAGAACAGGCTCACAAATGCTCCACCGCTACTCTGATATAGATCCATTTCAGAGGGACTTGGCATTCAGGGAAGAACTTATGCCGTCAGGTGTGTGTCCTATTAGCTGTGTTCCTCTCCAGTCCAAGCAAGATAGCAGGTGTGAAACTCAACAAAAGGTGTGCTGACCTGTACGTGGTAATGCTAGTTAGTGAGAGGTGGAGTTTTTAGTTTTGTCACATCCAGAGACTGAGTTTGTACGAATAGTCAAGATCAGACATACAGTTTCTCCTACACCACCTACTCATAAGCTGTTAATATGCTTGTTTTCCCTGTTCAGAAGTAAAAAACGAATGTTTGTGTAGTGATTATTGCAGAAAAACAGAGTCCTTATGTCAATATTATTTTCCCCATAGCTCCTTAGGAGTTTCAACTACTGTGATACTGTTACTGCCCCTTCATTTGTCAGGAGACAGCGTGGTGGAAGGGAGGTGGCAATTAGCTTGGCTTAAGGTCTTGCTCAAGGTTTGTAAAACCAGCTCACTAATAGATGGTTTCCACTCCTGTAGACGGCACTGAACATGATCACCAGGTGTCTTGCTGCAGACTTGAAATCGGATGGAATTCTCTGTATTTCTCTGCATCCAGGCTGGCTTCAGACCGACATGGGCGGAACCATGGTAAGTGACATCTCTCTGAAAATGTGACATCTGACTCCCTTGTTGTCCCAGCCCTTGAGCAAGAACCCGCTGTGCAGTATACACTTCCATGTGCTGCAGAGGCACGCTATGAAACGTGAAAATACATTGCACTTGATTCTAGTAACTCCTTAAATGCATTTGATTCTGTTCTGTAGGATATTCCCAGTAATAATCTAAGCTTGATTTGCTCTAGGCTCCCATGCAGGTGCAAGAGGCTATCCCAGGTATTCTCTCCGTCCTGGACCGTCTTGGTGAAAAAGAAAATGGTTCCTTCCTGGACTGGCAAGGGGAAACTCTACCATGGTAGAAGTGCACAGTATGCTACAGAAACAGCACGTCAGTCTCTATTTAACTTGTGCCACTAATGTCTGTGTCTCTAGGGTTTTCTTATACGCTAGTTGAAATAGCCAGCCTGATATCCAGCCTCTCTCTAGGCATACCTGGAAAGTGAGGTGGCTGACTCTTTTACTTGGTATTGCTACTGCTCTGTTCTAATGCTTCCTGCAGCTACTACTGTGCTCTTAGTGACGTGGGTATCTCCTGGAACCATCTAAAATAGATTAAAAACTGCAAGTTAAATCCAGGGGCCGGTTCCTCTTCACTTCCAAAACCAAAGTGGGCCTCTCGCTCTCTGCAGAAGTAAATGACCTGACCTCAGAGCAAGGCCAGTGTAGGCTGTCAGATTCCAGTATGTTCAGTCTGCTGGAGACGTGTCTCTGGGAAAGGGCCTTCGGTTTCCTTCAGTCCTAATTGAGCCAAGGCTGAAATTGCCCAGCTCTAAACTATGTGAATTTGGTACTTCTGTAAATTCCTCAGCAACCTCTGAGTGTCCCCAGGTTGACAGCACACACCAGGCACTTGCTTTGTTCCCAGGGGGTGACTAACATCCTGATACGGGGGTGGGAATGTTGTTTTGTATATAAACTTCTGAAATGTCTTCAATAAAGTCTTGTTTAAACAAATAGCCTGTTTACTAAACTCCTTTAGTTAATTTCTCTGTGTGTAACTTTCTCTTAGTGGGTTTCTCTTCCCTGAGCAGAGAACTGGACTTGTACCTTGCAGGAAGAAACTCCAGCCATCGCTGTCTCCTTCAGGCTAGATGGGTTTAACATGGTGGGGTGTACCTGAAACCCTTGTTCTGGTCAGAAATACTAAAAGCAGCTGGTGGAAAGATCTGTGTTCTGCCTTAGGTAGGGATAAAAGCAAAAAGTTCTTTGAAGTCTGGGATTGGCTTCAACGTCGCGCCCTCACGCCAGCTGATCAGGCACTTTCATGTTGTGCCAAGGTGGCAGGTTCCCGTACCGAGTGAGGGAAGACAAACGCAGCCAGGTAAGTGGGAGAGACAGGCGTGGCTGTTCCTGGGCAGCAGCCACTGTGAGACCTGCCCTCAGACGCAGCCGAGGGTGCGGAAGGGAGGCGTCTAGCTGCCTTCTGGGATGCCCGGGTTGACAGGGATATAAAGTTTTGCTTTAACAACTGCTTGTTATGCCACACTTCTGTGCTCAGACCTATTTTTAGTGATGTGCTGCTGTGACTGAGCAGGTGAACAAAAACGCAGTGCTTTCCTATCAGCTGAAAGCCATTGGCTTTCCGTCTCCAAGTGGGACTGTAGTATCAGCGCAAACCTCACAGGCAAGGGGCAAGCTCGGTGTGAACTAGTTGAAGTATTTAGTTTGAAAGGAATGCCAGATGCTGGGTGGGGAACAGGAGCCCAGGTGCCTTCTGCAGCCCGCTGTGAGGAGCGCTGGTGGAAACACTCCCGGCTCCGTGATTCCGAGGGGTGGGAGTGGGGAGATGACTGCGGGGAAGGAGACGGCCTGTTCCCAAAGCCGTGCAAGTGCCTCCTTCCCCGGGATGCTCCAACGCGACCCAGGGCCCTGCTCCCGCCTGGCCCTTCTGCTGTGAGGGCACCGAGCCCTGCTCGGTGCCGGGCTGAGGTGGCCGCGCCAGCCCAGCCTGGGGCACCAGCACCTTCCCCCGGGCCCGGGCTGGCGGTCCCGGCGCCTCCCCTCCGAGGAGGGGCCCTCCCAGCGCCTCCGCCCCGCT